AAGGCTGACCTGTTTCGACAGTCTGATTAAATTGCATATGAGCCCACGCATTCTTTCCTCCACACTCTAGAGGTTCAGATACATGAGGAAATGTATAAACTGAATATAAAGAAAAGGGCCAAGAAGCTAGCATCTCACCAGGGACAAACATCGTTCCACATCATTGCTTATATTCTTCAAACCACTTTTGGCCACTGCAAGAAGACAAAGAAAAACAGATATGATTATTGCTTATAATGAAAAGCAGAATGTAAATGTACTACATTGAAGGACTTAGGACAAGGGAGGTATAAAGAATATTAACTAATTTCAGCCAATTTTTTCTGCAAAGGGGTTTTCTTCAAAAAGAGTCTTTCTTCTTCCTCTTGCACAACCCTTCTAGATGCTTCAGAAACTCGACTCTCATCCTTGGGGCCAGACAATAGCTGCTCTTCTTCTTCCTATTTAATAGCAGAAGTGCAAAACATAAAAAGGATGCGACTTTTTATTTTAGGGATTTCATAGCTACTTAATAATTATATTCAGGCAGAGATGACTATAAAGAATCATACCCTGAGATTGACTCCACTAACAGCAGTGACATCATTTAGTTGTTCAATGCTCTGATCTGAAAATGCTGCTGACACTTTTTGCTTCTTGCTGTAGGAACCCATTGAATATGGATAAAAAAATGATTTAATAGGTTAATATCAAGAAGGAATCAAATGGTTTTCAATTGATCCTTGATAACCATTCCATGCAATCAAGCAACAGAGAGTTAATTTAACCTTGACGGTGCTGGTGAGGAACCAAGACCTTCCAGTGGTTTCTTCTGTCCAACAGAAGACCTTTTTTGTGGGTTTCTTGCATTGACCCCAGCTGCAGCAGGCACGGATGTATTTCTAGAGCCCATCTGATAAAAAAACCCAAAAATTAGAAAAAAGAAACAAAGTCATGAGCATGAGCTTCATTGGGGAAAACACAAAACTACATAAATTTCAAAAATGTTGATAGAGGTATATAAATTTCAAATAAGTGAACTGAATAGAAAGTGAATTCAAAATCAAGAATATGCCATACATAATTGCATGTTTAGACGACCCTGTTATGTAGCTCCGATTTTGGAAGTTTGCCTACTCTACTGCGAAGTCAGCAACTAAAGAGCTAAATCTAACAAGTCAGCACAACAGCTCATGATTCACAAATTCATTTTCCATCAAATTGATCATACATCACAACCATGTGTATAGGCACTTCATAATTGAAAGAAGGCATCACTCTAAGATGGAAAATACTTTATGCAAAAAAATTCATGCAGACTTTTAAAACAAAGTGGTAGGCATCACCAAGAGCTTCCAGAATCATCCATCAAGTTATCACAATGGGAAAACATAGATTAAGATGAGAATACTGGTACGTTTGAATCCATTTGTGTTGTGATGGAAGGTGTTGAGAAGCCAACTCTGGAAGATTGCTTCTCTCCAGGCTCATCTCTTGGAGTAGTTATAACTGCATTTCCTTGTTCTACTAGTGTAGTCGACACTCCCTGGGTGGCAGAAAAATGAGGTCTATGCTGATCAGCACCTTGATCAACAGAATCCTGTTTCACATATGCCGCTGATGACAAAGGGCCAGGATTCAGCTCCTTACTCGTTGAGGCTTGCCAAGAACTGAACCACCTGAAAAGTGAGAAAGAGATGCACCCTGCAATCTATTTGGGTCATTACTAGAGTTTTGGCTCTCAAGCTTAGGCCCACTCATCATGCTCATGGCCTGGGTTGATCCTCCAACAGGATTCGGTCCCATGCTTTGATGATGTGCGATTTGCCTCATTTGTGAATCATGAGGTTGCAGCTTTAGAGTGGAAGCTGAAGTATTAACATTTGGCCCAGAATATGTGTGATAATTATTACTCCCATACATGCCAAATGTATTTTGTGGGAAATTCAAGTGTTGTTGCTGTTGCTTGTTAATTCCTTGTGCCGGAATTGATGAACGTCCTCTTTCTTGATTCACAGTGGTTGAACCAGAGGAAGAAATTTGGCTACCCAGCATTCCAAAGCGAGAATCTGATTGGCGATCCAGCTCTTGAGATTTTTTAGCCTTGTTTTCACCAGACAAATAACTTGAATTAGCCTGCATGGGGACTGCGGGAGAAGGGGCCTGAGTTGAATTGGCAGGAGAATTAGGACCCTTTTGGTGCAGCTGAGCTAATGAATGTGGACCAGCAAACTGTGTGGCACCACCAACAGATGGCATCTGCAGAGCAGGTGGCCGTGCTCCAGTATGGGATGGTAGCGGGAACTGATTGGAACTTATCTGAAAGTATGGATATGGATGTTTAGCTTGTTTTCAAAATTAACTTGCAATCAACTAAAGCATCAATTTTTACTTCAATAAAACGGGAGATTTCAGCTGACCTGCGCTTGTAACTTGTTAACCGCCAACCTCAGCATCTGGTCTCCTACAATATCTCTCATGTGCCTGACAAATCCGTCTTTTGCAATTTCATTTTTCTAACAGATAAAGCCAGTAGAAAAATCAGGGGGGAAAAGAGACAAAAAGTCCATTCTACATATTGTGCGCATTACTAAATAATTACAATAGTTGCAGCAAAAAAGCCAGTAGAAGTCCACCTTTAGTTTACCATACAGTGTATGAAGCTGCATGGCTCTGTCTTTATCAAGTTGGGGCACTAAGGCAGGCAACAACACAGCAAATGGAACTTGTTTTCCTCGATTCATGGGACTATTTGGCTGCTCTGCTCCACTGGCCGATTGATTACTCGTCTTCTGTAATTTAACATATTGTGATTCATTGTCTTGATTATTGTTTCTCTCAGGTTCATGTGGGGTAGGACTTTTTTCAGTAGTCTGAATCCTAATCCTTTGAGAAACCTGAGCAGGAATTTGATCAGCTACTCCTTGTTGGCTATCATCTTGGAGTTGTTTTTGTTGCGGTGGTAGACGATTATGCTCCTGCTGAACATCATTTGGCTGTTGTAGTTGTTGCTGACTCCCAGTAACAACCGATCCCTGTTGCTTTTGCTCAATCTCAGATGAAGTCTGATGTTGCTGCTGTGCACTTTGAAGGACTTGTTGATTTTGGAAGTTGGTATTCCCATCTTGCCCCGGGTTTGACCATTGTGCAACTGACTGACCGGAAGCAGGATTGCTTCCTTGAGACAAAGCTGCTTTATTTTTCAATACGAGAACAAATAATAGCAAACATTCAATGAAATTCTCAGGAGAACCAATTCATAACCAACAAATTGCAATTATTAACACAAAGGTAAGCGAATGAAAATCTCAATTAAGAAACTCTAACCCTTAAATAAACAAAGTACTGAATTCCACTCTTAACTAATACTACTCATGAAACCAAATCTAGTCTCTTAGTCTTGCAAATTAGAAGTCAACTAAGAACGAAAAGTAAAAAAGAAAAAAAGATCATACCAGTACTTGAACCCGACTGCTGAGAAGTCGACGCGTTTCCTTCAATATCTCGATTCAACGCGGCCTGGAAAGCCTCAACGTCTGCTCCAGAATGCATAGAATCGTCCTATTAACATTGTTTTTAAAAACAAAATTGGAAAGTATATTAAATAACCTTCACTTATTACGAATTCTATTGCAGAGTAGAAGAAGAAAAACCTCGTCTTCTTCAAGGAGCTTTACTATGGAAGGGTCCATCACAAGCTATACCGGCTTTTGTTGCCTCTGCCTAGCCGACCGGTAGCGGGAATCGTTCAGCTTACCCGATTGTTGTTATGCACAGTGATTCGAAATTAAAATTACACATTGAAAAAAAAACCCGATATTGAGAAGAAAAAATTAAGAGAAGTTCACAGAGGGAGAGAGTAGTTTTTGCAGTGAATCGAGAAAAGTTGTAAAGCGTTTACCGACTTGGTTCTTAGCTTATAAATACTCTAGGATATAAGTACAACATAGGTCACTAAACAATGTTTAAAAGTTCATTTCAATCATTAAATGTTTAAAAACTACAAAATGATCATTAATTTTTTTGAACGATAATTAAATTTATTATATTATTAAAAAATAATTACTAAATTTTATCAATACCTGAATATGGAAAGCAAATCAGACTTATTATTTTCAAATATTCCAACATAATTAAAAAATCAATTTTGAGTTTTTTTCTCGAGTTAAATTTAAAATATGTAAATTAAATCCAAGTAACTTTCTAACTCACATGTCTAATAACTATATATTTACTCAAATAAAACCAACAACAACAATAATTTAAGAAGTAGACATTTAACATTTTATCAGTCTGTGTTAATTAACTATAATTTTTGTAATAATTTTGAATGATTATAAGGTATCATCTGTTTAAAATATTCATTAATCTATTGTGAGTGTATACAAACCTTAAAGCGTAATATAAATATTATACAAAAGCACAACAAGAATTGAAATCAATATAAATAATTTAAAAATAATAAAATCTTTGCAAGCATCTCCCGTTACCATTTTTTCTTCTCCAAACCTTTTCATGCACCGATTTTTTATTCTCTCTTTTTAATATAAACCACTGCTTAAGGAAACCGTAAGCTTGATTTCTACTCTGATCCCTTCATTTTCAAGCTATCTCTAGAAACTCATCTTCTGCAACGGCACTAAAAGTTATAAAGTTGATTTTAAGGTAGGTTTCTACAATTTCGTTGGATTTAAGATTTGCATGTTAAGCTGATGATCATATACTAAACGACAAAACCTATGAATGTTGTTTGATCGATATAACTGGTATGTATTTTTTTTCTGGTAAGTTTACCCAAAAATCACAAAAAAAAATTATTTACTGAAATAATACTTTTTTACCAATATTTACTGAAACAGCATCCTTCGAGACAAAGCGCTTTTTTTTTACAAAAACACCTTACGCATATATGGCTAAGGCGTGTTTTACCAAATGCGTCTTATGCTGATTTGGTAATATATGTGAAGGCACGTTTGTGTAGAACATGCCTTTACCCATGTATACCACTTCAATTTCAGGTTAGGGTTAAGCGATTTAGGGTTAGGATTCTTTAAATAATAAAATTGTTTTGAGTTAAAATATAACTACTAAGATATTTGATTTTTTATATTTTAGTTCCTAGTGTACACCATTTAATTTTTTTGCCTTAAATGAGTAATCTTGATATAAAATTGGAGTGATAGTAATGTAGATATTACAATTCAGAACAATATAAGTTTAGATATTTTAATTTATAACAATAATATATAAATTTAAGAGATTGTGAATATAAAATGTTAAAAGAATAAAATTAAATAAAAAATAAATAAAATCATTAATATTTATATGATAAAATACAAATAAATTATATAAAATAAAAGATTGAAAATAAAATAATATAAAATACAATACCAAAAATTAAAATAACATAAAATTTAATATATGAAAATACAATTAAGTAATAATGATACACGATTGAGAGATGACAAAAAGATAGACATTTCCCTTTGGTTTGAGTTTCAACAATGTCCACATCTTTTAGTTTTTTTGACGTCTTTCGAATATCTATATCATAATGAATTCGAATTGATTTTGAATGACCTGGTTCCCTTAATAAAATCGGATCTGGTACAATTGTAAGTAATTTCGAATCTCATTCGGATCTTTTTCATTACTTATGAGAGAAACTCAAATTCACCTTAAATACTTATGAAAGCTGATAGACGGGATCAACATAACTTTTGTAGTCCAAATGAGAATGGAATAAGTTGTTATGACATTGGTGCATGGATACTTTAGAGTTTAAAAAAATACACTCACACCACTTTTTTTTGTAGATTCACTCTGAAAAAGTTAGATTCAATTCATTCTAGAGGTCATGACATCTCCAACACATGAAATAATTAACGGGTACGAGAAAAATCTATTACCTACATCCATTTGATGTTACAACTTTCTATGTTATTAATCTTGGGTGATAAATATGGTCGTTTTGCATCTAATTAAGAGTTTGTCCATCGAGCTTGCAAAAAGCTTAACTAGACAAAAATATGTCGTTTTAACATTTTCGATAAAAATTACCGAAAACATTATTATTTTTACCTAAAACATTAATATTTTTAATATTTTTGATAAAATATCCAATAATAATAAAGCCGATAAAAAAATAATATTTTAAGTAATGTATTACCAAATCCGGTAAAACATAAATAATAATAAAATGATAGAAATAATAATATTTCTAATAATTTTTTTATCATTTTATTAAAAAATAATAATAAAACCATATATTTAATTGTATATTTTCCATACCGAAGACGGTGAGTCAACAAGTAGCATATATGAGTACTTGATAGAGATACTTTTAGGGTGACACGTTGAAGATTTCCTTGATTCCACTTCACCTCCCCTTGGTTTCTGTAAGGTTTGCATTCATCTATGGTTATCCTTTTCTTTCTTACTATTTAGCTTTGACAAATTGTTTTTTTTATTAGTTATGTTATTTTTTTTGGATTTTTTTTTGTTTTTGGATCTAATTTATTCAGTGATAATTTCGAGAGCAATATGAATGCATTCTACCAGAAAGTTTAGGACTTTGGGTTCCCAGCCATCGTATTCCCTGTATGCTCCCCAATATTCTTCACAAACGGGAAGGCAAATCGGGTTCAAGGAAACAAAGAAATCATGGGATGAAAGCTAACAGGAGACGGACAGATCTTCAAAATTGTGTTATAAATTTGACATGGGTTAACGTTTCCATCTTTGCTTTATCTTCTCATTTCTTGCTAAATTATTTCACAATTTAATATTGTGTTATAAGTTTGACATGGGTTCAAGTTCCCACCTTTACCTTATCCTCTCAATTCTTGTTAAGTTATTTCTCAGTTTAATGTTGTGTTATAAGTTTGACATGGGTTCATCACTCCTGTTGATGGTGGTAATAATGGAAACAGAGTTAAAAAAAAGTGGTCTTACCGGAGGAGACAATCACCAGAAAACCCAAATCAAGGTGACGACGGTGGTAAATCAGGAGGCAAACAAGAAAGTGTGATGGAGAGAGAGTAAAGAAAGTTGGGGAAAGATTGGGATACAGAGTGGAGAGAGAAAAGAATGGCGTTGGTATTGGGGAGGAGAATGGATGGGTATTTTCTGTATTTTATATAGTATTATTTTTAATTAATTTTTATTTATTACATAAAAAACTTATTGGTGATTTTTTCAATAAATCATCTTATCTATATTTATTTCTCTATCGGATATCCTTTCATCTTTATTTCTCGATCTAACACTTTTTGCAGAAAGGCGGACTTATGCACCGCCTTATCTTGATGTGGCGTCACACCTTCTGCCACGTAGGGTATGACGCGGTGCATGGGATGCGCCTTCCTGACAGACTGACACACGTCAGAATAGCGCGGTGCATGGGCTCGTCTTGTATAATTGTATCCGTACTTCTCGGTTTTAAAGCGTTTCCTCTCAGTTATAAATAACCCTCTACCCCATAAACTTTCACACAACAACCTCTCAACCGAAAACATTAAACAATAATCCTCTCAACCCGTAAATATCACCCGACAATCTTTTATATTTGAAAAAAATATTGTATCATTTGTTTTCAATTAATTTTTGTGGTTGTAAAATTGGAAAGCAGTAGCATACGTCGAAATATTTTTGTCGATACGATAATAATATAAAATTATATTATTTAAATTATTTACGTTTATGTGTAAAACTTTTATTGTGTTATATTTTAATTCATATTGTTTATTTAATTATGCTTGTTTCAGGGTTTTTTTTTGCAGACATAAGATTGTCTCACTTTCAAACTTTAAGAATGACGCAATTTAACTATTGTTTATTATGATGGAGAAATTCGGGAAGATGAAACCGGCATTATTTTCATATCAAATCATTATGTTAAAATATCCTTCAAGAGAAACATAACTCTTGAGGAGCTGATAACAAAGATTTCAATGAAGGTTCATGTTGGAAGTATAAGAAGAATGTCGTCGCTTCAGTACATATTTCTAACATCATTGTTTCCGTTAACTTATACAGTGTTCGAACTATCAACAATGCTGATGTTGAAATGATGGTTGATTCTCAAAATCATTATTCAGATGTCGATACGGAGATATATGCAAAGTTTATTGAAGTACGTGTATTTGGGGTCTGTCATTAAGCTCCCACTATGGGCTGACTGAACAAGCTGATCAAGTTGACATACCGACTACAGTAATATGTAATGATTTTAATGCCATAGTGGGAAATCCACATCATGGTGTCGTCCATCAACTTCAATGGGGAGACATTCATCAGCAACACTTTACGATCTGTACCGAGATGGGTTCATGAATAATCCGTATGGCAACATCGCGTCCAGTTCAAGGGGAAGGCATTCATCTACCAATTTCTTTGACCTTAATATGGAGATGCCCTCGATGCAACAATCTGTGCAGTTTCCATTTGACACGATGACTTCAAGCTCCAGGTGGAGGCATTCTACTGCGAGCTTTTTCGATCTCAATGTCGATATGCCTTATAGTTTAAGGGAAAGGCATGCAAGTAGTAAGTTCTTCGACCTAAATGTGGAGAGCATGAAGGAACCACCATCTCCACCAGAAGAACCGCTTCGTGAGCCAGTGCGAATGGTGCTGAGATGGACTATTTATTCACTCATAATCACCACAATTCAACTCCGATGATGATGATGTGGATAAGTTCCCATAAATGTCCCACAAACTGGACCTCCAACACACTGTATGAAGTTGAATATGGTGCAATGTACGGGCTAGAATTTGAGGATATACCTAATCCCGGTGACTATGGATTTTACTCATCAATAAATAATGGTGAGTTATCTTTAGGCATGGAGTTTTCAAGCAAAGAAGAAGCGATGGCTATAAAAAATTACAATATCCGTAATTCTGTTCAATCTAGAGTCGTCTGCTCTACGAAAAAAATATGTATGACGCTGTGTCTGACTTGAAAACGGATGCAGTTGGATGGTTCGTGTATCAAGGAGGAAGAGGAAAAACAATATATGAGAACTAACGGTATACAACGGTCCGCACACATGTTGTGCTAGAGGGATCAAATAAGATCATCCCAACTTGGACTCTAAAGTGATCTGTCAAGCCATCATGCCCATGGTAAAAGCAAGCTCCCATATAGTTATTGTTATGTTGATTTCAGCTATACAATCACAGTATGTGTATTCTGTCTCATACAAAAAACATGGAAGGCAAAGCAGAATCCCATTAAAAAACTTCACGGCGAATGAGATGCATCTTACAATGAACTTCTAAGTTGGTTTAGGGTGGTACAGAGGTTGAATCATGGGATAATTATGGACTTCGAAACCTGCCATACATACCATAATGATCGAGTTCTTCGTGATCGATGTCAATTCTACCCGGTTTTTTGGACTTACCCACAGTGCATTAATGTTGTCAAATACTGCAAGCATGTGGTCCAGATTGACGGACTTTCTTGTATGGAAAATACAAGCAAGTATTACTATTGACAATTGTCCAAGATGGTAATCGCAATATTCTTCTAGTTGATTTTGCCCTTTTGAAGGAGAAGATATATATTCTTGGGCTTTTTTCCTCCAAAACTTACGTTCACATGTTATCATGAGGAAAAAAACTATGTCATTGCAGATCGCGGAGCTGGGATCAAAGCAACAATGGAGTCTTTGGGTTCAATGTGGCAACACCCTTTGTCCAACATAGGTATTGTATCTGACACATTGATGCGAACTACCATGGAAGTTCAAGAAGAATGATGAACGCCAATTACTTGTGCACATGGGTAAGTGAAAATGCTGTAGTTTTTTTTCTTTCGATCATTTTCATTTTTAAAGAAACAAAGTTAGTAAGTTCTACATTTTATGCTCAGGTTACGAACTACTGCCTCAAACATTTGAATCTATGCTTCAAGATTTACGGGTGAAGAACGAGGAATGATATGATTACATCAGCCTCATCAATAAAAAAAGTGGACAAATGCATATGATGGTGGATATCGATATAGACACATGACGACCAACTTAGTTGAGGCAATCAATTCGACTTTAAAGGGTGCACTTCACTTACCTGTAGCAGTTTTGGTAAAAACTACATATTTTTTGTCTGGGGGCGCTTTTTGCAAAGCTCGGGGGACAAGCTCAAACATGGATGCAAGGCGGTCATGTCTATCACCCTATATTAGTTACAGATCTATAAAAAAATTACTGCATCAAATGGAATGTTTGTAACAAGCTTCTCTAGAACGCATGAATTGTTTCATGTCACAGAGTGTCGCGACCTCTTCAAGGGATTGAAGCTAACTCGTTAAGAGTGAATCTACGGGACAGATGGTGCGACTACGGGTTTTTTCAAGCTCTGAAGTATACATGCTCTCATGTGATAGCAGCTTGCTAGTATACCTGTCAAGACTATAATGTTTTGTAGATCTCGTATACCTACTATCAAAATGTTTAAGGTATATGAATTTGAGTTTCCCCATAGGTAATGAGAAAGACCCTAATGAGGTTCAGAATTATGTTCCGATTGTACCAGATCCGACTCGAATTTATTGTGATATGGATATTCGAGAAACATCTAGACAAGAAAAAATGTGGGCATTGTACAAACCCAGGAGACACTAGAAGAACATTTTCACTTCTTTTGTCATCAAGTTATCATTGATGAGGAACTGATGTAGTTGTTGTTTATCAAATAAAAGTTCAGACGAGTTTAATTCACATTTACTTAAAGTTAATGTCATTTGATAACCACTTATTAATTAAAAAAACAATACAAGAAAACGGATTCTACGTTAGCATTATATGTGATTATAATAAAAGAGATAATAAGTGATAAACTTAAAAAGTTATCGAACACAATTATTAAATTTTATCAAACTAATGGCAATTTGGTATTTGAATATAATTTTAAATACAACAAACTTTTAAAAGACAAATGTTTTTGATACATATTTACTACTATTATTATTATAAAAACAATTAAAAAGCACTAAATGATCATTACCGTTCGCTTGAATTAAGTAATAAACAAAATTAACAAAATAAATTAAGTTTTAAATGGTAAATAAAAAAAATTACAATAAAGAAAGTCCAATAAACAAGTAAATACAAATATAATAAAATATAAAAAACTATTGATATCTGCGATGCGAATATGTTCCGCAGGGCGTGGTTGTCTGTCTCGAGGAGGATTTCTTTGTATAACTAGTTCATACTCCTCACTGTCATCATCATCGTCGTCGTCGTCAGGAGCAGATACATTTTTGTTGATGAGGAACTGATGACGATGTAGCACCTCCATAGAATAAGGACCCTGAAGATGTATGACTGACTATCCTACCGCTCATAGAAAACTGGGAAAACTTAGAAAACACAGACATCGATAAGTGAGAAAACTGTACAGGAGGGGTCTATGCGGCGACCATCGATGATGAGGCTGCACTCGCCAGATAACCAAAATATGAACCCCAAGTCGGATATACAAACATAGAACCATAATATCCTCCAAGAGGGGTCATAAACTCTATAACGGTGGTGGATGTGACATCTGATAAGGAAAAAGCGACGACATCATCAGATATGACTACGGGTGTACGTCGTTATAGACGGTGGTTGTTGTGAAAGTTTCGGTGGTGCAGCCGACGATGAACCGGAAGCACCTGCTCTCCGTCAATGAGTCGAGGGACGATGGGGTTGTGACGGTGCATGTCTATGTCGACGTCGATAAATGCTCCGTCCTCGTGCATCATCAGAAAGTAGAAATGGTTTCCCGTTACTATTGAACCACTCATAATAACCATCTGCAACCGTCAAATGGTTAACATAAATGGGTTCTCTATTGGGAATGCACCGATGTCGATCCTCTCATATCATGACCCACTCATAATGCTTCACTAGCCAATCTATATAAGTCTTACCGCGTCGATCTGTATTATGCAACTGGTTCATATTTCGAGGTGCTTCCGGAATTGGTTGTACAAAACCAAATTGTCGGAGCACACGATCAGTGTGGTGCCACTCGACAATCGCATAACAGATCAGAGGGACCACCACCATCCAAACATCTAATGGGCCCCTTAACTCAGTGGGATACACATCCTCATATCATCATTACAATAAGGAGCCCATTCAAACTAAAACAAATATATATCATTCTTATCAAAATAATAATCTAATTATATAACTATAATGCAAAATAGATTTTCAAACACTTAAATACATACATTTGTGACAGCCTTCTGATCGATTAGTAGCCTGATTATTTCTAATTCATCAGGTAGATCCCGATGATTTTTCCTGTCAATAGACTACCTATTCAAGGAAATAATTTTTATTATACACTGGATAAAATGATTAATATACAAATCAGTTTTGTAATTACCTCAATAGTAGCGAGAATACAAATGAGTTCTTCACAACATGACATAAAAAGGGCAACCGATACCATGCCAAAGACTGCAATAGAATGAGACATCCGCCGATAGCATTTTTCCTGTAGTTAGTCGCTCGACACATCTCCCTATACAGAAAGCCAAAACTGTTGAGCCTGCCAGATGAAAATCGCTAAGATGCCACAACCACATACAGTGAACTTGGTTGCGCGATTTGTCTGTCATCAACAGCCCTCCTATCAGCTGCAGTATCCATGCTCGTGCATACTTTTTAACTTGATCCTCTTAGGTGTCCTCACTCAAATTTTGAAAATTTGCATCTAACCAATTTAACGGTATCCGACCACCGTTAAAATTTCGCGGACACCTCCTAGATATTCCTGGCACAAAGTATTCCAGTTACCATGCGCCATCCCTGAAATCACATCTCCATCCACCAGAAGCCTCAAGTGCATGGAAACATCCTCAAGCGTAATCGTGCACTCTCCGCAAGGAAGATGGAATGTGTGAGTCTTCGGCCTCCACCGCTCCATTAATGCAGAAATAAGGTTTGGTTCTATCCTACAATGGCCTTCATATCTAGCTATGTGACTGAATCCAACCTCGACTAAATACGACCAGACACGGATTGATATCGCTAACTTAAGGTTCTGGATAAAATGATCTAATATACGATCACTCTCCTAAAAATATTAATATTACAAAAATTAATTTATAAACTAATAATAAAAAATTAAATAAATAAATTATTACTAATAATTTAAATTAAATTAAAATATAAAAAAAGTTACTGTATCATCATAATGTCTAGATATATGATTTCCATCCAAACGAAGCAGACCACCTTCCTTTTTATAACTGTAAAAAAAATTAATTAAATAAAATATTAAAAATTTTAAATAATTAAATAAAATAAAAAACAAAACAAAATATTAAATATTAAATATAATAAAATATACCTTAAAGAGCTATGAGAGAATTTAAGAGTATTTGAGAGAAGTTGAGAGGATTTGGTGTGATGAAAATGATTGAGAATGAATGTATTTATAGGGTGTGATGGGGGTGTGAACGGGGGATGGGGGCCGGATTTAAGGCGAAGGCGCGACCCATGCATTGCACCATTCTGACGCGTGTCAGAATGTCAGGAAGGCGCGCCCCATGAACCGCGCCTTACCTAGCGTGTCGCCATGTCAACATAAGGCGTGGTGCATGGGTCGAGCCTTCTGCCACGTGACGCCACATCAGTGCAAGGCGCGATGCATGGGCCGCGTCTTTCTGCAAAGGGTGTTAAATCGGGAAATAAAGATGGAAGGGTGTTTGACAGGGAAATAAAGATGGATATGGTGATTTATTAAGAAATTCGCCCAACTTAAAATGAAACGATGATGTGGCACCTTTTGATTCGTCACTGATTTTTTTAATAAAGTTAATGTTTTGGGTAAATGGAGTAATCTTTTAAATTTCATGAATAAATATTTTTAAAAATACCTTAAGAGATAATTTGGTATAAATAATATAATTTAAGGGATAATAGGGACATTTAAGCTTAAAATAAAATATGAGGTACTCAATTAGGCTAAATAATTTTGACGCCCACGGTATTGAGAAAAAATAAAAGAAAATGATCTCTCTGAAAGCACCTTTAAAATCCAAATAAAAAAAAGTGGCAATTCCGTAATAAATGATAAATACGATGTTATTTTGTCGGCAGCAAAAAGGAGTTTGAAAGCAACTATAAGTGTCATGAACTCGGTCTTTTCCTCTCTGAGAAGTAAATGAAATTTAAATCGTCCTTCCATCTGATTTCTCTTTGTTTCTGATTTCTTTTTTAAATATCTCTACTTTTTCTGTTGTTCAATGGAGTCGGAGAAAATCATTGGGAAGAAAAAGTTGCCTTCTATTCCATCAAATTTTGTAACGCTCCTTCAACTGCAAGAACGATGGAATAAAGAGAGAGAACAAAAACAGAAGGGAAAGGAAGAGGAAGAGGAAGAGGAAGCAGAGCTTCAACAGCGAGAGGAAAGGGAAACAATTGTTGAAGAGCGAGTTGATGACGAAGTTCCTGGAAGAGCAGGCCGTAAAAAAGGGCGTTTTCCTCGATTAAATCAGGATCATGGGAAGCGTGTTGCGGAAGGGAAACCCAGTGATGAGATAATCGCCGCGGCTAAGGATTCCTACACTGAGAAGAAAGGCGAGGAATTGAAGAAAAAGAAGAAGAAAAAGAGCTGGCGAAACAAGAAAAGGAACGGGATAGGAGAGAAAGCTAGGACAGCTAACGAAGGGGAGGAAGAGAAGGGACGTGCTGGTAACGCGCTGCTGCCTACGAGTGCGGAGATTAACGAAAGGGAGGAGGAACTGCTCGGAGATGAAGCTCACGCTTCGAAGCTGGCGAGTGCTGAGAAAGAAAATGTTTACACGAGAAAGCAGCCACGACCTAGTATCATTCCAAGAACCCATGGCCCTAAGGCGGAGATTGGACGGAAGTTTCAGGCAATGTCGACGGACGGCGAGGTTACAACAGGGGTCCACGCGCCGAAGCTGGTGAGTGTTGAGGAAGAGAACGTTGAGGCAAGAATGGAATCACAACCGATTTTCATTCTGAAAAACCCTGGCCGTACGGAGGAGATTGGACGGAAATTTCAGGCGATGTCAATGAACGGTGAGACCAGAACAAGGTATGATCGTAAATACGGAAGGCAAAACGTTGATTTCAACCACCGTCGGGCAATCTGGGGCTGAATAGGACATGTTACGGAGAATTTGGTAGTCGTAGAGGGCTGAATCAGGGTAATGAAGGGTTGGTTTGGGTTAAGAAAGGGGAAGTTAAAGATCAAAAAGTCGGTGGAATTCAAAGCTCGAGTTGTTCATCAAAGAAGGAAGTAGATTGATGGGATTTGAATCATTTTGTCGTTCCTGATGAATTGCAAGGTTCTTTTGCTTCTATTTTCAAGATGAAACCATGATATTTTAGTATATTTTGCCGAGCATTTTGTGTTTTGAAAACTCCCTACCCGTTTCTTCATCTCTAATGGAATGCAAGGTTCTTACATGCATTTGCATTTGCTTTTATTTTCATGATGAAACTGTTACAATTTGGTAGTGGAAGCATTTTGCCATCAAGTTAATGCTGTGAAGTAGATGATCGAGAAATTATGACATTGTACAAACAATGCAATGATCTGGTAATGTTTGGCTTTCAGCTGATTTTGTGAATCTTTTGAGAGAGAGCCTTTTCCTTGGCACATCTTTTAGGTGATTGAATGGAGTCTAAAACGAGGGATCAATAGAAGCCGTTGTTGAATGATTTAGGAGATGATAGTTTGAGCTTTGAACAGTCGTATTATTTCCGCAATGCCTTGCATTTGTATTTTCTGGGCACATCAGGTTTGCTTTTGAGTTTTGGGATTGGCTATAATGCATTGTCCCGTTTCTTTTTCATGCGCGCGCACACACACACACATATCACTACATATAAAAGAAATCACGCCCTGCCTATAATGGGAATAGGTTCCTGATGCAATGATTTGATACCAACCTTGCTCCTCCTTTCAACAATAACAACATCGTTGTCTTCGAATTCGCAATGCTTGTCTTCATCAATTCTACCCATATTCTTTGGCAACCCACTCGATCTCATCCTCGATTGTTTCGGCGGAAACATATCCATTTCGCTCCCACGACTGGAGCTTGGAACAAATGCAGCCCTGATAAGCTCCCTTAGAACAGCTTCTTCCTTGACGTTAGATGAATATGTTGTCGATGATCTTTAACTAAAGCTCCTCGGCAACCCATGGTATTTCCCCGGGAAGTAACCGGAGCATTCCCCGTAGTCGATGCGCGAAGCACAATTGGTCAAAAATCGAATATAAGCATCCCTTGCTTTGCGCAATGCTCTGAAAGGAGCTTTCAAGCACCGGACAAGCTTGTTACGAGATTTTGGACTATGCCCTTGCTTTTCATCCTGAATGTTAAAGATTGAAGTTCTGGAGATTTGATGGCTGTTTAATGGGAAATGATAACATCAGCAAAATGGGGTTTTGGTCTAAACATGATTAATCTTGAAGAAGATTTAGGGTTTTATGGAGGTCATTAGGAAGGTTTTTGAAGTAAACAAATTATTATTATTTTCTTCTCCAATAAATAGGAAGGTGTCGTCTGTTCTACATAAAACGATCAATAGGAAGGAGATGGCGTTGGCTTTGAACAAACGAAAACATTTGGGATAAGTACAGATATGTAGAGGCCGTCTCGTTTTTAGAAACGTAACACATTTTACAATTATTGTAACTGTAATTTCCTTTTATACGATCAGCTGTATTCTTCTTCTTTTTTTCTTTTTCTTTTATGTAATTTATAGTAAAATACGTTAATACGGTTCGTTTTTGTTTATCAAGTTATCTATGTTGGAGATTAATTAGATTCAGGAAGTTTACACTGACACTGAACATAAAATAAAAAACCAATAAACATTAATTCTCAACAAAATGAATAGATGCTAAATTCAACTAGCAATATTATGGATAAAACTTGAGCTATGCCTCGATATCATTGAGAAAAATGAACTTCCATCCTTGAAGATGAGCACGGACAGCAATATCTACGTCCTCAACTGTTGTCCTCTCAAGCCATCCACCGGAATCCTCCAAAGACTTAATCCTCCAAACGCGGCAGTCCCATTAAACCCGAAGAAACTAATCAAAACGCCGCTCGCTTGTTGCTCAACCTCAAAGTGAAATGACAAGTTAATGTTTTGCAATCTTGTTAGCAAATTCTCATCCTTATTCATAAACGACCACCTTGCTTGAACTAATCCTACATCCTCATTACCCTGTAAGAATGTAACCAAAATAAATCACTTCGACTAATCATGAAACATTCTAAGATGTTAATGAATTCACTAAATTGCATTCAACTCAAAGCAGAAGCAGTTAATTTAGCAGACCTTAAAATGGGGGATGGTTTGTTTGAGGAAATCAGTGGTCGGCTGGAAATCAGCATAAAAAATGGCAACAGATTCGTAGTCTTTAACATAACTACAACTCATGGCTGGGCTTAAGATTACCAGTTTTGTAACCATGTCGAATTTGTTGATGTTGATACACGATGTTGGCACCTTGTTGTTGCCATTTATGCACTTCCTCTTCAATTAGCAGCTGAGTTATTGGATCATCAGAATCATCCGAAACTTGAATCAAAATTTTCAACTTAGGCCACTCCAATTTGCACATTGCAGCAATGGAGTGTTGGTAAACCTGCAATATGTGTATTCAAAATCAAATTCAAACCATAAACAAAGCAATGGGTTCTTTTTAAATGATAAAAGAGTTGGTCTTTGTCTTGGTGTTTACCTCTTTTTTGTTACACATAGGGATCTGAACGAGAACCATTGGGAAGAATCCATTTTCAAGAGCAGCAACAGTGTCTTCTTTGGGAATTGGTGATCACAGTATATACTAATTTCAGTTGTATTATTCGGAATGGATGTCTGAAGATATGTACAAAGTTAAAGCGTTTCTGCAAGCGGATATTTTGATTTGGTAATATTATGAGGAATATTGAATTTGCTGCTACTTTTACTGAAGTCTATGCTTTTAAGATAAACTTTGAATTACCTCCATGGCTCTAAAGTTCAAGTCTAATTTTAAAATGGGTTCTTTTGTGATATTGATTTGTTCCTTCTTTCCTTTTTCTCTTGCAACTGTGTAAAATGTTGGAAATGGTGCAGGAATAAGGGGATATCATTTCTTCCAATTGATCTTAGTAGACCTCTTTCGGACCAAGGTCCTTTTGATATTGTGTTGCACAAGGTAACTGAATGTATTTCTTAATACGTTTAACTGCCTTTTCTTAAATTTCATGATGAAATGAGAAAAAAAACAAAACAAATGGAAGGGTGCAAACAAGAACCTCTTCATGCGTGGCCTTACATTAATATGAACCATTTTATTCCTGATGCAGATGACAGGAAGAGAGTGGCGCCAGATTCTCGAGGTTGGTCCAAATCCTAGACCCTATAATTTTTGTTTTCTTTTGAGACTGATGGTGTTTTGGAATGATAGTATGACCTATGAATCCAGTTTGTTCGATACATGTATATGTATATATATTATATTCCTTTTGATGAGTGTAGGTATTGGTAATAACTAATTAGTTCTTCCTGTGCTATAGATTTTCTCTTTTGAGCTTTTAGTTGTAATAAACTTTACCTTGGTGAGCTTGTATTGATATTGTTTTGGTCCTTTGGAAATGGTTTCGTGAGTTTTATGTTGCTTAATGTTTGGAGACAGGTGCACCTTTTCTTTTTCCTGGTATGTTTATCTCCTGACCTGCTGCTTGCTTTCTTTAAGTAGCTTGTAGCCTGTATGAGCTATTTCCAAGGTTTCAATAGTTCATTTTAGGCATGAATCAAGGTGGATGCCATTCGTATGTTGCAACCAGAGGTTGATTTGTTAATCACAGGGTTAGGTATGAATTTATGAAGTATTTGACTTTGGACATAATTGGCATTAGGTATATTAAAAGTTATTTAATAGAAGTTTCCGTTTTAAGGGCTATTTTTTGCTAATACGGAAATGAATTGAATCGAATCCGTCTTACTCTCTGAGCTATAACTGCAGGAGTACAGACAAACACATCAGAACGTCCTAGTTCTTGACCCTCCGGAGGCTACTAAACATTTACAAAATCGCCAATCAATGTTACAGTGTGTCGCCGATATGAATTTATCTGAATTTTATGGTAACTATTATTTTGTTGACATTAGAACCGAGCAGGAGTTGGATTTTTTTCTTCCCCTCTTTTTTATGAAGATCTCAAAATGAACTCCCTAGCCGATCAGAATTAATGTTGAAATTTTACCATGCAGGAAAAGTTGGTGTTCCAAGGCAATTAGTCGTTAAAAGAGATGCATCATCCATTCCTGATTTTGTAGCCGAAGCTGGGTTGAGATTGCCCCTTGGTATGCCCAATTTTTAGTGTGTTGTTTTAGCGTTCTATAGGGTCCGTTTAAGTTATTCATAGTTTAATAATCTATTTGATGTCACCTGTTCGTTATGATTGAGATCTGCATTGGGAACAAAATTGTAGAGATGCTTTGTTTAGATCCTGTTCCCAAACCATGCGATTAGTTCTCAGGTTCCAGATGTGCTCCTATTTTTCATGGCAATTCTTTCTTATCAGACTTGCATTTCCCGTCTGTTTCAGTTGCTAAACCATTGGTTAATGATGGAAGTGCAAAATCACATGAACTATCACTTGCTTATGATCGATATTCTCTCCAGAAACTTGAACCTCCACTTGTTCTGCAGGAGTTTGTTAACCACGGTATGTGACTACAACATTTTGTATTAACTTAAGAGCTATACAGTTTCCAACTTTAAGCAGCAATGCTTAAATGCTGTAATGTTTTCTGTTTAATGTCCATAGGATGTGTTCTCTTCAAGGTTTTTATTGTTGGAGAAGCCATTAAAGTGGTTAGGCGTTTCTCTTTACCAAATGTAACTAAACAAGACCTCTCGAACGATGTTGGTGTTTATAGATTGCCGCGGGTTTCTCGTGCTGCCGCTTCTGCAGATGATGCAGATTTGGACCCTAGTGTGGCTGATTTGATGTCCCATCTAAGAATACCCTTTCTCCTTTGCTTCTTTCATGATTTTTCATGCATGTTCTTCAAACATGAATGTTCTATCACGTAACTGAATTCAGAATTTATTTGAAGGCATTTTCATGGTTGGCTCGAACCTCAGTTTATTGAGGTTTTCTTGTTAATTTTATCCAAGACCCTGCTTTGGACCCTGTTGCAATGTGAAACAGTGTGCAATGCCTTTAGCTTCTTTGTCAAACATTTATGTTTTTCCTTCCATTGCAGAACTTCCTCCCCTGCCCTTACTTGAAAGACTGGCCAAAGAACTTCGTCAAAAACTGGTATTTTTTTTTCTTCTGAATTTGACTATTAAATGTCTGTTCTTTGCATCATACTTATCTCTAAACAACTTTGTGTTGTTAAATGCAGGGTCTTCGGTTATTTAACCTAGATATTATCCGGGAGCATGGAACCAGGGATCATTATAAGGTCACTGACATCAATTACTTTCCTGGCAAGTCATACTTGTATTCTATAAGACATCATAGTGCCAGTTTTCTACCTGGTTTGAAGTCCATATTTCTCTTTACCCGAAGAATTTGGGTCTGCCATCCCCTTCATGATTTCCTTTACCTCTAAGGGTGCGTTTGGTTCACGGAATGTAAGATTACCAGTGGGAATGTAAGATTACTAAGGAATAGGATTACTGGAAATGTTTATTTTGTGTTTGGTTGGCTTAGCAGGAATGTAAGAATACTGTGTTTGGTTAAAGGAATAAAAGATTATTGGAATGTATATTTGATCAAATTGTCTTTATTATATATTTGTTTTTTAACAAGTTGGAAAATATTTATATATTTTCTTTAAAAAATTTAAATTCATAAAATTTATATAATTTTTTTACAAAATTAAAAATATAAAAGGTTTAATGAAAGGGTAAAATTTTATTTTAACCCTGAACTTCATACAAAATTTTAATTATAGATTTTTTTTGTAAATCTAAAATAGTTTAAGGATAATTTTGTAATTTAACATTCATAGAATTTTTATTATTCAATGACAAAAGAAGTATATTTTTGAAAGAAAAAAAAATTAAGGGCATTTTAATCCAAAACATCGGTAATCAAACAATATCTAAGGAAAAAGAGGTAATGACATTCCCGGTAATATACTCCAAAAAATCCACTATTGGTAATCTTACATTACCGGAAATGAGATTCCCGGACTAACCAAACGGGGGAATGTGAATTCCATTCTCATGAGAATCCCACATTCATGAGAATCCCACATTTCCCCGTCCAAACACTCCCTAAAGCTAAAAGTCCTTCCCTTTAGGGTGGTCACCCTAAAAAAACAAGAACAGTGTGTTGCGAGGCGTGAACCGGGAGAGAAGAGATTATAGATTTCATAATTGGGGTTTTGAATAGCATGAACTTTTTCATATTGATAAAAATAATTGCAAAAAATGGTGAGTTGCTTTACCAAATGTTTATTGCAGGGTATGGGAAAATGCCTGGGTATGAACAGATGTTTACAGACTTCATCTTGAGCCTTATGCAGCAGAATCGATAAAAGAAAAGGGAAAATGGGGGGAAAAAAAGAATGCTCAGCCTTTTGTTACTTGAATGGTGCTCCATTGACGGATAAGAGTATATGTCGGATACAGGTATATTTAATTTTTTCCAAGTTTTTCATATAATTGGAAGGTCTTCTCGTGTCAACATATTCATATATGTGTCAGCCAATCGACGCCAAAAGGGATTTTGAAGAGTTGGAGCAAACATGGTGGTAGTAATATTCCGAATGGGGATATGTTAAAAGATGACGAACTTGAAGACAGATATCAGATGATGTTAAACAGCCAGCCAATGGTGGTGGTCGTCATTCCTTGTTTAAACCATGGTTGATCACTCGGCATTTGGTGTAAAAGATCCAACTTCTTTGTCTTGTATTAGTAGATGAAGCGCCTCGATTTATTATTAAAATATCATTGAATTATAGCAAGGGAGAATGAATTATCAACATTGGACTTAAACTTAAATGCATATAGAATATTGTCATTTGATAGTTTGTTTGTAAAATTCCACATTTTAATAGAGAATGTTAGGTGGCAACAATAATTTTCATAAATAAAATTGTACAATGAAATATAAGATAGGACGAGACAATAAAAGCTTATTCACATAGATTAGAATCCATTGTGCGTTGATAATAAAAGAAAATATTATTTTCTTTAAACTTCTTGATCATATAAATTACGTCAAAAATTTCTAATAAGGCATATATTTTAATCACTCAAAATTACTAATAAAAAAAGTGTATAAAAAGTATTCTAATAACGTATAAACTTATTCAATTACTTTACATAGATGATATTTAAAAAAAAATCAAATTATTATAATAACATATAACATAAATGTATAATTAATAATTAAAATTTAATTAAAATTGATATTTATTATTAAATAAACTAATTATATAAAATGAAATTAGAAAATAAAAATGAGATGGATAAATATTAATATTAGGTGGGTTGTTATGTTGTAAGGGCCGGGAAAGGAGGCAGGCCCCAAAAGAGCTGTTACATTCTGTCCTAGAAAGGAAGTTTAACTATTACTCGTTGACATATTATAAAAAATAAGAAGAAATCAAACTATGATAATGACACCTACTGGCGCTCTTGTTCTTCACGATGATCTGCTGATGATAGTTTACGAACCCAGTTGGTGAGTAGTGTCTGAGTGAAGCCACCCATATTTTGCTGGTAATTAAACCTCGAATGTTGAACGAAATCCTTGATTCGTCGCAAGGCCACTTCAAGTGTGGATTGGTTCATGTTCGCAAAGCAAACTCGGAACCACCCCGGTTCATTGCAATGGAAAGATGAACCGGGGGAGATATTCAGCCTGACTTGGCATAAAATCTTGTTCCAGAGATGGGTTTCGGCTTGGAATGTGTTGGAAGATAACAGATGTCTCATATCAACCCAGCAGAACAAGCCGGCGTTGCTTTTCAAGCAACTGATACCCGATCTTTTAAGCCCTGAAACCAGCATCTCTTTCCTTCTCTTAAGCCTCTTTTGACTTTCCTTGATGTATTTGCTCGTGAATTTCTTGTTGGCAAGCATGTAGGAGAGCAGGTACTGAGTCTGCGACGAAACGAGTCCGAAACTCGACATCTTGGTGGCCGCGGCCACGACGGTTTGATTGTTTGAATAAATCACGCCGACACGAAATCCTGGTAAACCTAGATCTTTGGAGAGGCTGTAAACGATGTGAATGCGGCTCAAAACATCGGTGTTTCTTTTAAGGTTACTGTCCATTGCGGCTTCTAAGATGCTAATGAAACATGGAGAATCGAACACCGTGCCTGAGAACACTTCGTCGCTTATGAGGTGAATGTTTTTTTCGATGGCGAAAGTAATGAGGTTCTCGAGTTCATTTTTAGTCATTGTCGTCCCTAGTGGATTCGAAGGATTCGTTATTAAAACGCCTTTAACATTGAGGTTCAGTTTTTGAGCTCTTTCGAAAGCTTCTTCAAGTGCAAACATGGAGATTCTGAATCCATTTGAGCTGGAGCAATGTATTGGAACAATTTCTACCCCCGTCCTCCATCTTAGATCCCTGTCAAACCTACAACCATGTATATGGGGGGAAATTAATCAATCTATAACACTGAATTCACACACCATCTTTTCTTAAAGTATTTGAGTTCAATATTCGAGTACCATTGGAGTATAAACTTTATATGATTTCCAGCTTACCCAGGGTAGTATGGTGTGGGAAGAAGGATGGCTTCCCCAGGATCCGCCAGGCAAAAGATTAAAGTCTCGTTGGCTGAAGTTGCACCAGCAGAAAGCACAAGGTTCTTGGGATCAAATTTAACCTTGTTTCCTCTAATTTTTGCCATGTATTCCACCAGTTCCTATACAAGTAAAACCACCATATCAAATCAAACATGCATACAAATATAATGTAGGGGTTTTTCTCGTCATAGAAAGGTTAAAAATGAAGGGATTAATGATTATTTACATTTTTGAAAGCAGGCATTCCATGATAGTCTTGGAAGAGTACAAGATCCCTGAATACAGACTCTCCATCCTTATTCTTCAGCCCCATGACATCGGGGTTTATTCGTAGCCATGATTCCACGAGATCGAAAGAGAGCTGGAGAGAAAATACACATTTCCATTTAGTCTATACATTCTTTTTTCAAACAAAAAATTCATAAAATAGTAAAGATACTATTGGTCCAGTTAGCAACGAGGTTTAAACAGTTAAACTTCATACTAAAAATGATTCCATAAATGTATGAAAAAAGAAAAAAGCTGTCCTCGTGTTTTAAAAGGATGTTTCAACTGATTTTAGGGTAAGAATCTGGAATGCAAAAGTTAAAAAGGAAATTCTAGCTCACCTGATTCTCGGCAAGCCCCATTTGAATGATCCCTGCTGGATTTCGGACTGCATCAAATGGGTTCCTCTCATAAACTTGCCACCCCAGAAAGTAAGAGGAAACCTGTCCATGAGAATTGCTGCTAGCTCTACTAGACAACATCTTTCTGGGTTTTTGACTGAAAGAGAGAGGTTGATGTTTAGTTCTAAAGCCTTTCAAGGAAGTGAAGGATAAGGGAAGAGATGATGGGGAATTTATAGGGGAGAAACACAAGCTCCACGATCCACGATATGATTTTTTTTCTTTCCTTTTGGTTTGTATATTTGACGGTGCGTTTAATTTATTCTTTTGACCAGAGAGTGGTGGTGTTGTTGGGGTAGTGTACTCCTGGTTTATTCCCCCCCCCCCCTTTTTCTCATCATTTTGGTGGGTTTTCGTAACTCAATTTGCACTCTAATCCATTTTTATGTTAAAATCCATTATTTGTATTGCTTTTCTTTCTTCAATGCAACAAACTTACACTATATATATAAGAAGGAAAATAGACAATTTAAACACTAATTACTTGTGATTATTGATTACATCAATGATTATATATATATATATATATATATATATATATATTGTTCTGATTTAAATTTTTATTTTTAATTAATATTTAAGAATAAATAAAAATAAATTTATTAAGTAGTTTCAGTAATAAAATAGAATGTTATTTTTTTCTTCTAGAGAATCAATATTAGAGTACCTATGCATATAGTATGTATATATATTATAATTAAATTTTAAAAAATCTGAGTAATTGGTATTTTATAATTATTTAAAATTATTTATAGAAAAGATTAATAACCCTTTCATTAATCTTAAATTAGATGATTTAAACCCTAAAAGAAGATAGTATCGTACCGACATTCATAGGTCATAAACTCATATGATGTATATATTATAACATCAAGTTGAAAGAGGAGAACATGAAGCTCGTGTTAAATGAGAGACTCGTTGACTTGAAGATCAAGTATTGGGTTCCATTTAAACTACCGGTGGAAGCCACTTATTTCTGCTGTACGTCATCAAATTGCATGTTATTAATTATTCATTTCCGTTAACAAATTAAACAAAAACGAGTCCAAAGAATATAATCCAACTAATCTCCACGAATATTCTACCAATCATCCTATATCTTCTCTCTTAAAACACAAATCCTCACTAAACTTGACTTCACTCGAATCATTCCGTATATCCTTTTCCCTTTAAATTCGTTCATGAATCTGATAAACTTTATCAATTTGACACTAAAATCTTTTCCAGTCATATATCTCTTGAACTTAATAAATTTGATCAAATTACATCCTAATTTTTGAAAAATAACATAAAATAACATCTAAAATTAATAATACCCTTTTAATATTCTATCAATGTGAGACGCTAAAAGATGATTTAAACTTCATTTTCAGAAATGATGTGCTATGCTTTTAAAGTATTGATGAGAGTATAAACAAGTCAAGAAATTGATGGGAAGAAAGAATTTACAAAGAGTTACAATCAGAGGATCAAATTGTAAAAAATACAAAGTTTAATGTAACACCCCCAACTCGTATCCGACCCGGATACGAGTCCGAAGTGTCACATTGTCTTTTCAAACATTTTATTCATATAAAATAGTGAGTAATTTAAAAACTTTTATAACATTGAACTTATTCAAAACGTTTACAAAACTATTCAGAGCTTATACACAATATATATTCTTTTGATTACATGCCAACTAAAACTTTATTTATTAAAATACGTATTATTCACCTCTTTTCTGATCTGACATTTGGTAAGGAGAACTGACCGGTCTTGCTCCATATTGCTCTTTACTCTTCTCGAAACCTACGTGTGAAACAATCACACGCTAAGTCGTTGACTTAGTGAGGCATATAAACATATAATAAAAACCATAGAACATTTCATATAACAAAACACATACCTGTACAAATACTATCATTATCATTAACATATCTATCATATAATATCATACATTTTTCCAATCAATACCCATTTCATCCGATGAATATGTATTCTAAATATTTGATCATGACATTTCAATATGCATGTATCTATTACATGATAACATATATAATCATATCATGCACATACGAAACTTACCTTCTTGTACCACTTTCACTTTAAAGTTTGTATTTCAATTGCCCATGTATATTATTGAGAATAGAGGTATGTGAGTACATTGAGGTTGTGCACTAATGCTGTCACCACAGCTCGT